AGTTCTAGGAAATTCGAGCATCTAAACCCGGTACTGGCTTCTCTCCACTGGCTTCCAGTCCATTTTAGAGTTGATTTTAAGTTATTTATTTTTGTTTTTATGGCTCTTAATGGTTTGGCACCATCTTACCTCACTGAATTGGTGCATTGGCACAAACCTACAAGGTCCCTCAGATCTTCAAGCCAGTTTCTTTTAGAGGTTCCTATGGCCAGATATAAATGCTGGGGTGACCGTGCTTTTACTGTTGCAGCCCCTAAATTGTGGAATAGTCTACCTTTTAATGTTAGATCAGCTACTGACCTCAGTACTTTTAAATCATTTCTCAAAACATATTTATTTGCCTTGGCTTTTAATGCACAGTAGTTCCTGATGCATTCCTTTTAATTCCTTTTAATTTTAATTTATTGAACGTATGTTAGCTGTGTGTCTGTGTTATTGTGCTGTTTTATTTTATTTGCACTGATCATATTTACTCTATTTTAGTCATTTATTGTGATCTTATTCTGCCATGTAAAGTACTTTGGTCAGCTGGATGTTGTTTTTAAAGTGCTATATAAATAAATTTGATTTGATTTGATTTGATGTAAACTACTGACATGTTATTCTAACCTTGTGTGCTCTTTCCAAGGCAGCTGGTTAGAAATCCACTGCATTTAGCAGCCTCGGACAGCTCCTTTTCATTTCTCTGTTTTTAATTTCCTCTTTCCACTTTACACTGCAGAATGAAATATCATGATTAATAAAAGGAATTGTGATAGCCTTTACACAAAAAAACACTAAAAGATACACAGCTAAAACTGCAAATGGCAACGTGAACTGTTAATGGCATAATGATGTACTGTAGCTTAGATACACTGCAGCTTTGAACATGACAAAGACAGTGTGGATTCCAAGTAAGACATCCAGAAATGACTAATTAACAACAAAGAAACAAAACGACAAAAACAAACAAGGGCACTTTGGAAAGGGCAGGTGCTCAAGCACCCTCGGCCCCGCCTCCCCCCACCCGCACACACGCACATGCATGCCTCTGAGGGGAGGTTTACCGCACCACACTTTAAAAACCCTCGATGTAGCTCCGCCTGTATTATGTTCAGAGCTTTTACTTCAGAAGGACAGAGACATCACTAGGATGCAGCTGACTGAGGCTTTCGTCAGTTTTTGTTTGGGCTGGCATCATTTGTTTGCTGTAGTTTGTCTTGTTGTCGTTGTCTATACATTAAACACCTTGTTCCCCAAAAGAAAGGCTGCACTTCGAAGCACTGAAGCTTTTCCAGGACCACCGAGACACTGGCTTTTCGGACACGTTCGTCAGGTAATTCAGACACGAGTGTTCAGTAATGTAACATAATTGTTCAACAATCAAAGCTGTAACAGTAACATGCACAGTGCCTTATACTGGTTATTAGGGGTTAATATTTAAGTTGTAGTGTAAAAGCCTATTCTGTATGATGAGTACTTTTTACTTTTAATACTTTACATTCATTTCATTCATTCATTTTCTACCACTTAGTCCCTGGAGCAGCACGGTGGCGCAGTGGTTACCCTCACAGCGAGAAGGTTCTGGGTTCGGCCCCCACCCGGGACCTTTCTGTGTGGAGTTTGCATGTTCTCCCCGTGCTTGTGCGGGTTCTCTCCGGGTACTCCAGCTTCCTCCCACAGTCCAAAGACATGCAGCTTAGGTTGATTGGTGTCTCTAAATTGCCCATAGGAGTGTGTGTGTGTGGTTGTTCGTCTCTGTGTTAGCCCTGTGATGGATTGGCGACCTGTCCAGGGTGTACCCCGCCTTCGCCCGATTGCCGGCTGGGATTGGCTCCAGCCCCCCAGTGTAATACTTTACATTTAGCTAATAATACATGCCCTTTTACTTAAGAAGAAGAAGCTTTTATTTATTGTCAGTGTGACACGTACAACGAAATTATGTTTGGAGCCGGGGGCCCCGGTCCGCTGCGTGCAGACGCGCCGCCATCACGGGCAACTTGAGGGGAAGGGGGGGTTCAGTGTCTTGGCTAAGGACACTTCAACACGTGGACTGTAGGCACCGAGATTCGAGCCCTCAATCTTCAGGTTGGGAGATGACTGCTCTACCCACTGCACCACTGTCACAATGTAAGGAAGCAAATAAGAGCAAGATGGAAGTTTACTCTGATGACTTGCACTGAATGGGATGAACCAGGACTGCATAGTCCGGACAGTAGCTGCGGGTAGCTACCCGCAAGCAGACTTCCAGATGGCCACCAGTCATGGTGGAGCGGTATTTGGACTTAATACTTATATTCTTCATGTGAGAAAATGCTGACTCACACAAATAAGTAGAGCCAAATAATGCAGTCAATGGCACATTTCCTCATGTTTGGGTACTTTTCCTCTATAGGTTTCACAACGGTTCATTAGCCTTGGACTTTAGCTGAATGTAGTGGCAATATTTCATCATCCACTTCAGACCAGTTCAGGTGAAACAGTGTTGCAGTTTTTGAGGCCAGTGAATCAACCTCAATATCTTCCCTAAATTGATAGCACATAAATGTAGAGACTGCTTTTCGTTGCGTCTCCAGCTCTGATGTGAGGTTTTGGAAGTTCCCCCCAAAAATGGTGCTGCAGCTTTGAGGAGAGTTGTTGCATTTTTCATTTGAAACTATTAACTAAGCTGATTATTGGCATGCGATCTACCGACACCACCTTTGCGATCGATATATTGGGAAACCCTGCTCTAAGTACTTTATTTAACATTGAACATTTATCACTGAAAAATCATGGTTTAGGCAATCTTCCCCAGTGATACTGTAAATATAGGAGTTACAAAACACCTATACAATACTTTTATTAAGCTCCCTGTGTTTGATTATTTTGTTTAGATGAAACAAGATGGGACAGACTTGGACAAGATAGTGGAATGGGGACAGCAGTACCCTTATGCTTTCCCAGTGTGGTTTGGCCCCTTTCTTTGTTTTCTCTACATTCATCATCCAGATTATGCGAAAACCATACTGACATCAACTGGTGTGTGAATGATTATTTTTATCATAAATGAAATTATACACCATTAAAGGGTAGTAAGATCAGTACTTGATATAATCTTTTACATGGTCATACGTTTACAAAGTTTTTACTTTGTTTCCTGCCAGAGCCAAAAGATGATGTGTCTTATACCTTTATTGAGGACTGGATTGGTAAGACTGATTCACCTTTCTCCTGCAGCCTACTGTGGCTTATTACAGCATTGTTTATTTTGTTTGTTTGTTTGTTTTGGTTTGGTTCTTTGGCTTTATTCACACACCTGCTGTATGTTTGTTTTCAGGTGAAGGGCTATTGGTGTCACAAGGTCAGAAGTGGTTTCAGCACAGAAGACTCCTGACACCTGGTTTCCATTACGACGTTTTGAAGCCATACGTAAAGCTGATGTCAGATTCTGCTAAGACTATGTTGGTATGTACATGTCAGTTGTATTTAGTTGTGCAAATAACAACTGATAAAATAAATAAAAATCAAAGTGTTGAAGCACTGATCAAAATATTACAAGACCAGGTTATAAAGGTTAGATACTTTGTGTCAAAGCCAATCAGCAAAGTGTGTTGGACTTGTTTTCCTCTCCTGAAGAGATTTCTGTGATGATGTGTTCTCTCTGTTGCCAGAAAAAATGGGAAAGATATGCAAACACCAATGAACCCTTTGAGCTGTTTGAACACGTGAGCCTTATGACACTAGACAGCATCTTGAAGTGTGCATTCAGCTACAGCAGCAACTGTCAAACTGAGAGGTGAGATTATAAAAACCTCACTGGTTGTTTTATGCTGAATCATGAGTGGAGATATGTAGATTTTAATATTTGCCCCAATGTTTTCATTCCAGCGGAACAAATACATACATCAAAGCAGTATATGATCTGAGTAATCTGATTAATCTGCGGATCAGAACATTTCCATACCACAGTGACTTCATTTTCTACCTCAGTCCACATGGCTATAGATACAGGAAAGCACGCCGGGTGGCCCAGAGTCATACGGGTAAGGTTTACTCAAATGATTGGATTAATAACAATCTGAAACAATTACTGAATTTCGTCAATTTGCAACATTGCATGCCCATTTGTAGAGAGTCTTTAAATACTTATCTTGTGTTTTGAAGAGGAAGTTATAAGAAAGAGAAAAGAAGCACTAAAGAAAGAGAAGGAGCTCAAACACATACAGGCCAAGAGAAACTTGGACTTTCTGGACATCCTCCTCTTTGCAAGAGTATGTTAAGTTATTTCTGCTTCAACCTTTGATTTTCATAAAATTAGAGATTTTTTCTCAGTGTAATGACTCTGGTAACAAAGTGAGTAAACTGAACTTGTATAACAACCATTAAAACATAAAGTTACAACATGCTACTGTATGTATAGAGAAAATACTTGTAATCTTAGGCTTGATTTATGGTTCTGCGTTGAATCTGCACTGTATGTATGGCGTAGGTAATGTGTAGCCTCATACCCTACGCCGTGGCCTATGCCATAGCCTGACGAGCACCTCTCCGGAAATGTAATTACACATCGCGCTAATGCAGATCGCAACAGCTGTGATTGGTCACATTACATTTCCTCGTTCATGTATCTCAGTACCCTGACAAGAACAGAAAATCCACCTTCATTCTGCCTCAGTTGGTTCAGCGATTGTACAGACCATCTCCTCCAACATCTGTTCTCTTATCTGCCTTGCAGTAATTTCAGTAATAGTTACTACTGTTCAACATCTGTTAGTTTTAACTCCAACATGATCCCTTCAGTCACCATTGTTAGTAAGTTGCAAAGAAATGCAACACAGTGGTGCAGAAACCTCACTGCCAACTAACATTTTGGCGGTACCATTGCAGGGTGACACAGAAACAACAGCGCACAAGTATAAATGCTCACAATGGTGTAGGCCACTTGTGTAGCCTGTGGCATGGGCTCTACATAGATTCATTGCAGAACCATAAACCAAGCTTAAGATGATCTGGGACTTTGGTGTCCTTTCCTAAGCATCTGCTTGCTGTAAACATCTGTGAACTGCACAGGGTCTCAATTTTTTGCTGGTATACAAAGACTTTTCATGTTAACATGTTCTTACCAGAAAAACATATACTACATGTGAGCTTGATACTAATATATGGTATATAGCCTGACATAGGCTTTCTCAGATCTGTAATCTTATTTTTAGGTGTGATATTTTGCTAGAGAAATTGTTTTTACACAGTGTCATTAAGTTATTCTACTGTATGCTTTTTGGTGGGCTGACTGCTGTAAATCCAAACATTTGGCAAAATTTAGTAAATGTAAAATGAATTTCTATCAAATACTGAAAGATCAAGCTAGCTAACAAAGCTGTTGTAATTCAGGTACAGCATTGCTGCTTCCCACCTAAGAATCCATAGTTTTACATTAATGTGTCTCCTCCTTCCAAATACACACGGTGAACTTGGCTTGTCAGCTGCCCTTATTTCCAGTTTTTACCAGTTTTCTCACAATTTGGAAAGCCCAGTTTCCTTGTGGCTAACTCTGTCTTTGTTCTGGAGTGGGAGTAGATAGGCATGTGTTATGCCTGTCTACTCCCACTGTGCAACACCAGCCTGACTGTCATAATTGCCAACGGATATTTTATGAGCTCTTATTAAGATGTATGATGTATTTTTATTATGGTATGCTGTTCATGTTGTACAATGTGTTGTAAAGTACAGTACATGTTTTTAAAAGTGCTCTACAAATAGAGTAGATAGTACACCTGATAGAAATAGTTACTATTTGTTGTATTATTAATGGGAGCTGAAGTAACAGCATGTTCATTTTTGTATTTTCGTCTTTTATGTCGCCTTCAGGATGAGGAGCAGCAGGGTCTGTCAGATGAAGACATACGAGCAGAGGTGGACACCTTCATGTTTGAGGGCCATGACACCACAGCCAGTGGCATCTCTTTCACCCTCTACTGTCTGGCCTGCCACCCAGAACACCAGAAGCTTTGCAGGGATGAGATCATTGAGGCCCTGGATGGCAAGGACACCATGGAGTGGTAGGTTTACACATTAAAAAGGTTTCCATGATGACAACATGTTGTGACAACAGCTGTTTTGAGTGGCATTTAGGCTTTCACTTTATTGTTATTGATCACTTACACTGTGCATCTGTGTTATTTTTAGGGAGGATCTTAGTAAAATTCCATACACTACAATGTGCATAAAGGAATCCCTCCGCCTCTACCCCCCTGTACCAGGAATATTCAGAAGAACCACCAAACCCATCACGTTTTTTGATGGAAGGACTCTGCCTGAAGGTCTGTGGTGCATTTGTGTCAGTAACTATAAGCAGACTAAGAAAAGATGTCTCTGTTAATGTTTTAGGAAGCTCATATACAGTAGATAAGACAGCATATACACATAGAACCAGTGTTTGTCCACACAGTGACCGACTCACTGACAGTAGCTTTACAATGGTGTTTTTCACACATGTATTATTGTGTACATGCTGAGAAATTATTTTTACATTTTATCATAGTCATACATTTTATGTGTATCAGACATAATGTACAGTCCCTACACAACCTCCATCTTATTTCTTCATCTTCTTTTTTATTTGTAGGCAGTTATGTTGGAACATTTATATACGGGATTCACAGGAACCCACTGGTCTGGGAAAACCCTGAGGCAAGTCAAGGTTTAATAGCTGGTGATATGTGTGTCACTACAGGGTGCTGATTTCTTACTGACCAAACCATTGTAAAGTGAAAACTCAAATGTGTGATTTGCCCCACATTC